CACTGCTAGCGCTGAGATCAAACTTGGTGAACTCGAAGCTAGTTGGAGACTGTGTGAACTACCTAAGCGCCTTGGGAGATAATAACAAGGTAGTTTTAAGATGGCTTCCGTCTCATGCGGGTATTGTAGGCAATGAAACTGCCGATTAGCTCGAACGGGAGGGCTCAAACAGTACACAATTTGGACCCGAGCCATTTTGTGGAATCTCAAAAACCTCGCCCAATCGACCCTGGAAACCACAATAAATCACTTAAGATCTGGTCTGATACACCAAGCTTAAAATGTTCTAAAACCTTAATCCGGGCTTTCAACCGTAAACTCGCTTCGGAAGCCCTGGGATTATATTATATTATATATGGTAAGAGCCCTGACTGGACACTGTTGTCTTAAAAAGCACATGTCCATCTTGGGACTTTAGCAGTGAACTGTAGACAATGCGTCAATCAAAAAAGTCAAAAAAACAGTCTCTTTAGACCTGCACAGCTGCTCGTACATAATAAAAAAGGCTGATTTACACAGGATCAGTAACAGGCGCCAGTGCTGGCGCCGGGACTGACTCGCACTGTTTACACGCAGTCAGTAGTCGTCATAACTTCTTTAGGGTGTACGCACGTTGTTGAAGTCAGTAGGCAAAAATGAATTCACGGAAAAGGCAGAATTTACAACGATTAAAATATTTGTTGAGAAAAATTCCTATCTGCTGTCGAAAGAGTTGACGGATATGTAAAAAGAAATGTTTTTGGATGAGAAAATGGATAGACGATGGAAAAGAAACTAGAGGTTCTGCTTTGTTGTCGAATCAATTGAGATTTGAAGATCCTGCGGAATACAAACTGGCTTTGAGAATAAAGCCAAAGAATTTTAACGAATTGCTTTCATTGATAAAAATTCAACGTCAAGATACATTCATGAGAGATGCTTTGCCATCCAAAATAAAACTCGAAATAACACTGCCATTTATGGAGATTATTCCTTAAAAAAAGGTTTTCATATATAAGCCCGTGGTATGAAAATGTATGGGAAGGAAAATCAAACGTTACGGCTTAAGGCTACACGATCTAAGATCTTTGCCTGCCTGAACTGGCGAATTGTAACTACAATACATTATATATCTATGGTTTACAATATATAATATAAGAAACATATTATATAAGACTGTTACCTTTATTTGGGTCCATTTACACTCTGGGATAACGCGAACGAGGAAGCACACATTGCCACTAGAGATGTATCATCATCAACATGTTCAGATCAATCCTCAATGCTGGAAATACCATTTACAGTCATATATGCCTTGTTAAGCAAGAACTTCAGATCCATATGGAAGTCATACTGGGAAGAAATAAGCAAGTTCAAATGTATTTGGTATTATGAAATACAAAAAAAGCCCGCCAGCCACTCCTTGGTACAACAAAAAAGGATTAATAATAGAAAATTCATTACGGCTGTAAACCGAATGAGATTTGGACATAGTAGAGTAGCCGCCCACCCGCATTGTTTAGTAGTTGTTGTATTTACAAAACTACATACAATTTGAAAGTGCACCCAAATGTTCGAATGGGCACTCATTCGGTATGGACATTTTTTGTCCCTGATTGTGTATCTAGTTTTTTATTAGTGATCTATGTGAAGTGATCTCATTTTTGAAAATTATTTTTTATAAAACTGATTTGGCAAATAAACGTAAAACATTTGGTTTTTCAATGTTGTTAATTTGGTTTCAATCATAGATATAGTATACATTAGATTGGCGATGGCGTGATTAGGGTGAGACCAAAAACGAAATGTAGCCGTGTGATTGAAATATGCATTTGTGCGACAATAATAGTGCTGCGCAATGTATCAACTTCAATTATCGATACAGAACGCTGTGTCTGTGTCATAAAATGAATATTATTATGTTTGAGGGCATTAAAATAAAACTACAAACATAAAGTTTGTGATTTTTATTTTCCACCAAAAATAACTAATTTATTGTAAAGATGTCGTAAGCTCTCCTAAAGAGGTATTTTGCAATTTTGCTTCATACTTCAATCTAATAAGTTTCGATTATTAATTTAATAATTAAGTGTTTATGGTTTGATAGTGCTGGCGAATCGTACATATATATGTCAAGTATGTTAAAAAAAATTGCAGGACACAATACATTCGTTTACTAATTTTTGAAACATATTTTCGTTTACAATTTTCCTTTCACATGTTTTCGGAAAACGAATACCTATCTCATAAACTTTTTCTTAATCACCCTTTCGATGAGATGCTGCAACAAATCGTTAGAACTAGATGCTTTTACAGCACTAATGTTATTCAGAAGTGAGGGAAGCCTTTCTTTAGGTTTTTTTATCACTTCTTTATCACAACTTTTCCACTTTTTTATTAGCCCGTTTTTTTGTGCTATTACATTTTTCAGATTTTTTTGTTTCATATCTAATCTTCTCCGAAGAATATCAATTCTTTTTATAGTTTTCTTAATATTTTTTCTTTCTCGGGGATTTGTCGATAACAGAAACGTTTGCAATTGAGCTACTGGGTACTGGCAATATATTTCTGTAGACACATGACGATGTTTTGCGTACCGGCTTCAATACAACCTACAAACAAACTTATCTATTCTATCTATTAAAAATAAATAAAATACAACCCTTTTACCTATTTCTGCCGCTAAACAGCAGTGCTTACACTACTGCTAAACAGCAGTGCTTACACTGCCGCGTTCCAGCCATTTGAGTATAGAGAGCCTGTATAATTATAAGTTGTAAGACATTTTATCTTAGTCCTCAGGGGTGAAACACATTTTTTTTATAGAATTAGGGTGACAAACGAGCACACCGTCCACCTGATGGTAAGTGGTTGCCGTGGCCCGTAGACATCTGCATCTATCTTTGTTTGCGAATTAAAATGCAGATGCGTTGTCAGCAGTTAGGACTAAGATAGAATGCCTCTTTTCCAGTAAAAAGGGTCTCCGGTTCTCTACACTCACCTTATGAAAAACAGCAGCATTAATCTGCTATTATACGCTAGTATTCTGTGAGAGCGTGGTCCTTCCCCGGTCAGACCGACCCATTCGTGCTACAACTATATTATTGATATAGCTGCAGCAAGGCTCTACCATGTTAAAAATTTGTAATTTTCTTTGTTTGAAGATGACTGTAGGTGACCAAGCATTGCAGTAGCCGTTTATTATCAAGTGATACTGTAAGTTCCTTTGTTACTTTAGTTTCATAAAAAAATATACACCACGTGTATGACAACAACAAGTTGTACACATTTGAACATGCGCAAACGAAATGAACACATGTACAGTAAAATATATAATTAAGAAAATACGCACGGGCATAAATAATGTGAGTATTGATCCAAAATGCATCTTTACTCTTTGTGTACTTTTATGAGAAAAACATTTTTTTTCAAAGTGCTTGCTACATGAAGCTGAATTTTTTTTTTCGGGAACCCATCCTTCTCTATTTATCATTTTTGACCATTTTTGTTTAACCTGAATATTTTTTGGAAATCTGAAACATTATAAGAGTTTAAATCATTTCATTAAAGTATTTAAAATGATGCGAAGTATTTACTATTACGAAACACTAAAACGTAAAGATAGAAAATTAAAAAAAAAAACGAAGTCACAAGAGGCTGCATCCAAGGATATGCCTTTGCCTGTTATAAACATATTATCGATAAAATGATATTGATAGTGTCAATCCCTACAAAAATTTGATCAGAAATAGCGGGAATTCACGTATTTGTTATTATTTTTAATATATTTCTCAGGCATTTAGAGCATTATCGTAATAAAATGCGATATTTTTCTCAATCCATTTGTGTATAAAACATTTGTACTAGTTCTGAAATATTGAATTTAGGGTGATAAATATTTTAATTGTACTTACATGTAAAATGTGTAATTTTGTGGATTTTCTTTTCTCGATGAACTGCATTCAGGTACGGCACACGTCACCATATTTAATCACACCTTTTAAATACTTATTAATACTTCAAAATCAAAAATATCGCGGAAATAAGCGGGATTTGTTTCGTTAACCATTGACGTCAGGCTGATACAGGCTGATAGCGTATACGTGTATGGTCTAGCCATTCTATCTCTTTCTAACGTAAGAATATGCTATGCCCTTTCTCTTTTACATTGCCAATCTAAGTATATACTAAATCTATAGTTTCAATAGATTACTCCTCATTAATTCCATTCAAGATATTAACAATGATAACGTTCCTGATACTCTTCAAAGTCTATTATTAGCTGATGAAAAATTCTTCCGACCATTATATTACTTTATTTATGGTGTTCAAGATATATTTAAATGATAACAACGTGATATTAATCAAAAGTGCAGCAAACGTAAACAAACTCTTTGTGAATCAGTGTGAAAGTGAATTTTTGATGAATGTATCATTCGTGACATTTTTAAAGATTTTTTTTTAATAGGATAAGGGTGACAAACGAGCACACAGTCCACCTGATGGTAAGTGGTTGCTGCGGCCCATAGACATCTACATCTATCCTCTGTTACAAATCAAAATGTAGATGCGTTGTCACCCGTGAGGACTAAGATGGAATGCCTCATTTCCAGTAAAAAGGGCCTCCGGCCACCTGCACTCACCAAGCGAAACGCAGAGGTAAACCTCTACTTCACGCTGGTTTTCTGTGAGGTCGTGGTACTACCCCGGTTCGAGCCGGCCCATCCGTGCGACAGCAAAAGCTGCCGCGTGGCTTTACCACTGTTGACACTGTTGACATTGTAACTTCAGGCTCAGAAGGGCTAGAACCCAGAGCCGTAAAGCCAGTTATAAAAAAACATCTATGGTTTGTTTATTTGTTTATTGTTATGAATTTTGATTGTCAAAGTTGATCAAATCAAAGAAATTAAGAAATAAAATGAATAGTGCATATAATAAAAACAATATCATTACATTTATATGATAAAGTTTTACTTTCTTACTAAGAAATTCGATCAACTTTTGAGTAAAATAAAAACAAAATGCCAACGGCTATATTACTTGACATCTCATTATCCATGTCTCGACCCATACCGATACCAGACTCAACAGAGAATATTACAAGACTTACACTTGCTTCAGCGGCTATTAATACATTTTTAGATTACTTAAGTGTACATGCGAAGTTAGAATATGTTGCTTTGGTAACATTTTCATCTATGTATGAAGGTTAGTTGGTATTTTATCAATCAAGTTTTTAAGGGTATAACTGAGTGATTACAACTCTTTGATTAAGCACTATTTATATATTTTAGTGGCTGTACCATTTACGCGAGACTATGAAAGCATTAAAGTGAAATTGCCTCAATTAGAGGAAGGTGACAAAACCTGTATAGAGACCGCACTGCTTGGTGTCAATCAACTTATACTTGGGGAATGGGGTTACCAAACTCTAGTGCAAACAATTTTGGTATGATAGTTTTTGTATATAATTGTTTAAATCTTTAATAGTCCTGAGTGTACAATATCTGCAATTGATTTGAAACTTAATTTTTATTATGAATAGACACTGATCACTTATAAAAAACTAGATACACAATCCCATGCAAAAGTTCTCTAAAAACTGTCGCCAATTGTTTTGACGTAATTCTAGTTTAAGTATATATACATTAATATAAATTTAACCTTAAATGCATTGCCTAAAGTTGTATTCACAAAGCTACATACAATTTAAAAGTTCCAAATGTTCGAGTGGGCACTCATTCGGTACAGACATTTTTTGTCACTGATTGTGTATCTAGTTTTTTATTAGTGATCTATGTGAATAGATCTTATTTTTGTAATTTTTTTTTTATAAAACTGATTTGGCAAATGAACATACAGTCAATTTATTTGATGGTGACTACTGCAGTCTATGAGCACTAGAAGTTTTTTTACATATGAACTTAAACATGGATTTGTTTGGCTATAGATGTCTGGTACTTGATTTTAATTATGTTTTCAGTTCAGTGGAAGCTTGTCAAGGTTAAGCTTGAACCTTTTACACTGTTTTTGGATGTCATAAATGTGTTTTGAATTAATTATGATAAAAATAAATTTCACTAAAAATTGCATATTATAATGAAATCCAAATATGTCAATTTAGTCTAGTATTATGAAGTAGATGTCCAGTACTTGATTTTAATTATTTTTTCAGTTTAGGGGACTTGTTAGGGTTTAGCTTGAACCTTTTACACTGTTTTTTGATTTTGAATGTGTTTTGAATTAATTACGATAAAAATATATAACTAAAAATTCCATATAACGAAACGGGTCACCCATAAAAAAGTTAATTACTAGAACCCAGACAATCCATTTGTGGCTGATGAATGATGAAATGAAGATGGGACTTACACAACGAATTGAGTGGTAGTGGAGAGCAGTCAAGAGGATTTTCTGAAAACAAAATTATAACAATTCACATTACATTGCTTCATTCACTCTATGGCGCTGTCCTATTGCCATTGTTCGCGCGATGATGTGCGTTACAGTTAGGAATTGTGTGTCCTATTTTGGAGTTATGCGATCACTCTCAAAATGGCTCTTAACAGAGATGCACAGTTTTTGCTGCTGAGTAATATTTATTTAATAGTGAGTGGCATTAAAAAAGTAAACATACACCACAATATACTGTATAAAAACAGAAATCAGTGTGGTGAATTTCACAATCAGTATTACAACATACAGCAAAACGAAGAAGATTTTTATGAATATTTGTCAATGTCAACAGAAACATTTGATTACGTCTGTAATGGAATACTTAGTGATTGTAATCATTATATTCGTATTAGTGTGGAAGAAAGATTGGTATTAACATAAAGGTATGTTTTTTTTTTAAATTAATAATAATAAACGAATACACTCACAGCCCCACACTAGAAATTTCTGATTGTGGGTGCACACACAAACAGCGGAAGCAAATATTTAAATTCATGTGTAGCAGAGAGGGGGTATCAAGCCGCATAGGATCGAACCCTTGCAATATGGAGCTGATATGAGCTGAGCATGAGAGGTTCATTTTTTACGTGGTAGAGCCATGCTGCAGCTATAAGTTGTAGCACAAATGGGTCGGCTCGACCGGGGAAGGACCACGCTCTTACAGAATACCAGCATAAAATAGCAGCTTAATGCTGCTGTGTTTCGTATGGTGAGTGTAGAGAACCGGAGACCCTTTTTACTGGAAAAGAGGCATTCCATCTTAGTCCTCACGAGTGACAATGCATCTGCATTTTGATTCTTTATTGAGGATAAATGTAGATGTCTATGGGCCACAGCAACCACTTACCATCAGGTGGACTGTGTGCTCGTTTGTCACTCAATCCTATAAAAAAAAAACTTTGTTTCTGGACCCATGTTACTTGAAGAAAGTTGTTCAGTTTCATAAGCCGGATCGATCCTGTGCAGCTTCGGTTACACTCTGTAGATTTTAATTGTTTTGTTTAACTAACTAGTTAATTAATGCACTGACTTAATATTTTTATATTTTAAATAGGTATTTAATTAACTAATCTAATTTCCTTTTATACCTAATTTAATTTACTAACATTTGTAAAGTGGCTAATTCAAAAATCATCTGGTTGCTTGAAATAGTTTCGGCCACTCTCAAGAGGGAAACGGCCGTTACTTTATGTATGTAGGATTGTATGTGTATGGTATAACAAAAAGGTGTAGTCATATTATAGGATGTAAATGTACTCATGAGACTGAACAACTTTCCCCAAGATACATGAGTCGAAATCCGAAAAAATTTATTTTGGACTCCCATACTGAATTCAGATCAGCTGATCGACACTTTTGTATAGGAAATCAACATTTTGTTTTTGGATTTCGACCCATGTTTCTTTGGTAAAGTTGTTGAGTTTCATTGGTAGACACCCCCTAAAATATTACTACATCTTTCTGTTACATCTTGTATTATATAATATGTATGTGTGTATGTAAATTCTTTCTTGTAATGTATGCAGATAGAAATAAAAGACTGAAATAATTTATAATTATGTATTAAGTTGGATAAAAAGGAAAAAGAAAATCAATATTAGGTATGTTTGTTACTGTAGGTATTCAAATATCGTCATTAAATCATTCGTAGAATTCTAGAGTACGGGGCGGTGGCGACGCCATAGATGCGTGTACTGGAGTAGGTAAAATTGAAGCAGAATTTGCAGAGGTTGAATAGGAAGGAGAAGTCATTGAAGCTATTTCATCAGCAATCACATTTTGTAATTTACTTTTTAATCTCAGTTTTTGTATTGGGTTTAAATACCGGAAGTACGGAGTAAGTTATTTTAAAAATAGCATATCTTCATCATCACCTTCAATACTTTTCTCCTTAAATGCTTTCATTTTGTCTTCTTCAAGTTTTAGCATTTTGGTTTCATATTCTAAACAAGCAGATTTCTTATGTTTTGGGCGTTTATATCCTTGACATACAGAAAACGTACTTTCACTCTGACTGCTGTGCTCTCGGATAGTGGCCAACGGTTCATCATCATCAGATATCGTATTAGCTTCCATATAAGAAGTTGAATCCCTTTCATCAGATAGCGGTGAATTTGGCTCTGATCTTGAAGAATAATTATCGGTCTCAAACAAATCTATTGTTCGCTTTGTGATTCATTATCATTGACGCCATAGTCCCCATGAATTTTGCAAGGCGCCATAACATACTTTAAAAATGTCATATGATGATAATAACTCCACTTCCCTGAATAAATTCCTGAAGAATTTTGGCTGCCTGGATCTCCAGATTGTGTCTTACGAACCTTTTTTAATTCTTTTTGAAATACATCCCTCAAGTTTCATCGTCATACAAAAGCTTCATTCATGACAAAAGCTTAATCGAATTTATTATTAATTTATTTCAGGTATCTAATAACAGTAACACATTTTCGGAAGTTGGCAGTGCCATTTCGTATTTCAAAAACAGCAATAGCAAATATATTTGTTCAGGTTTGCAGTGCCATTTCGAATAATTTTAACAATACCCACACGAAATTTCCAAGTACAGAAGATTTCAAAGAAATTGCTAACTCATTTTTAAATTTAAATATATTTCCACATTGCTGTGGCAATCTCGACCTTAAACATACTTGTCTCAACAGACCACATTAATTTATCTGGTAGTAAGTACTATAATTACAAAAATTATTACTCAATTGTATTGTTAGCGGTCTCCGATTCACAAAACACGTTTCGAATCATTAATGTAGGTGTTCTCAGCACTTCTCTTTTCTTTAAAGATCTAAGCAGTGGAAAAAAACATTCTTAATGAGACCTTATACAAGAAGGCAAGAATCAGGAAATGCAAGTAAATCGGGCTGCGGGTAAATTTCTTATAAAATTCTTTTAAAAAGTATTGAAACATGAGAAGAAAATGCTATTACAATTGTAAAGGCAATCTGTATATTGCATAATATTATAATACATATGGAAGGAAGACAATCACAAATAACCGTAACAAATATTCAAATAACATAACTCAAATTCAAATAATAACATAGTACAAATAATAATAGATAAAGAAGAACCACAATTATTGCCAGAGAATGATTTATAGCGTATTTTTGTAATCAACAATAATATTAATATGTTATGTTATAAATACCTACATATTAAAATTTACACTTGTTTTATTCAAATTCCTTGCAATAATGGGCTATCCCATTCTTTGTCATTTTTCACCCTGTTTTTATAGTCTTCATTCTATTTATTCCAAACAATGAGTTGAGCACTCGCTTCAATAATTAAGTTTTCTTCAAATGTCATCTTACGAATCCATGCAACCGAACCGAACGATTTACACAATATGGCAGGCCGTCGAGCCGAGAGCACGCCGTGGTACCCCTCTCTTGCCTCCGCCCCTTGGTCGCGCGAGCGCCATTAGGACATTCAGTACTGATGTAATAGTTTGCAGTAGTATGTTTGATCGGACGATCGTCCGATCTATACGATGCGTCGATAATCGCTCGACGAAAATTAGACAGTTCGGTCGCATCCGCACATTCCGACATTCCGCAGATATGAGTATGTTTAAACGCACGGTCGCACAGTTATTTTGTCGGACGTACGCATTATCGCGCGAGCGATGGCAATAAGACGGCGCCTATCATAGCAGAGTTTAAGGCAACCTGACTTTATAGTACGAATCTGTACTCAAACTGAATCAGAACGTCCAAACTCCACATAGTCTTGTCTGCCCTATCCCTAGTATTTTTGTAAAGCCGTAGGCGAGGAGGGAGAGCAGCCCCCACCCCACCCGCATTTGGCAAATCGCAGCCACCTATGTGAACCGTAGCGGCCCAGGCGACCAATAAGCGGAACCTGCGGAGGTGACCACTTCCCGCAGTGCCGAAGCCGTTGCAAAAGTAACTGAGTCAATATTCCTGTGTAAAAAAGTAAAGTTATGATTTTACGAGAAAAAATATTACTCAGTGGAAGGGTAGGGGGGGGCTTCCTCTGAACCTCTGAACTTTTGATTTGAACTTGATGCTTACATGTAAAAAAATATTTACTGTTAGAAAAGCTCACCTGCTCACCTGATGGTAATTGACTACCGGCGCCCATGAACAACTGCAAAACCAGGGGAATTGCAGATGCGTTGCCGGCCTTTTAAGAAGAGTAGACTCTATTCTTGAAGGTCCATAAGTCGTATCGGTCTGGAAACATTGCTGGTGGTATTCGATTCCACAAGGAAGTTGTACGAGGAAGAAAATAAAGTTGCTCATTGGCTAATTCATGGAAGAATTTCCCCTCTTCTCTGCCACACCCTTAAACTGTTTGTAGATATTTTAATATACAATGATCATGCTTTGTCTTCCTTCACTGCTGGTTGTATGAAGAAGCTAAAGGCGCTCAGCGAGCTATAGAGAAGGCTATGCTCAATGCTTCTTTGCATTATACTTTGAAATGAGAATATCCACAGTAGAACCTGGGTAACAAACATAGTCAAACGGATCTTGGTAGAAATGCAGGAAGTTGAAGGATGCAGATGACACAGAACCATGCTTTGTGACATTTGTTTGGGAAACCCTATGTTCAGCAGTGGACTTGTGAAGGCCAGTAATGATGTTATTGATGATGATCATCATCATTACTTCATTTTTATTTTTAATAGAAACATATGATCTTATACTATGCTCCTTGTCTATCTAGAAGTACGTCAGGATAGCTACCAGTCTCTTACTCATTTCTGCCACCAAATAGCATTGCTTCTAGTGCTATATTCTGGTCTGGAGGGTATAGCCAGTGTAATTACAGGCTATCAGGCCATCTTAGTCTTTTGAGGTGACAAGACATCTGTGGCATTCTTTCTTTAAACTTGAGTACTTCAGTTTTATAATACAAAATTGAATACATACTTTTATTCCATACTAATTTTCATATACATAATGCTTAATTGTAATAAGAGTGCTAAATTGTGCTTTAAATTTCTCTAACAATGAGCATTGAAAACAAAGAAGAGGGCCATTAGAGCTATTTACAATCTAAAACCGAGAGAGTCTCTTAGAGATAAATTCAAAGAAATTAATATATTAACTTTGGCCTCTCAGTATATTTACGAAAATTTAATGTATGTTCACAAAAACAAAGATAGTTTTAGTAAAAGAAGTGATATACATTCTGTAAACACTAGGAACAAACACAAGCTAGTGATACCAGTTTCTCGACTCCACAGAGTCAGTAATTCATTCTTGGGGCAATGTATACGCTATTACAACAAGGTCCCGGAAAGTGTACAGGTTCTCTCTATTACCAAGTTTAAATGTTTTATTAAGCTGAAACTGTATAAAAAGGGTTATTATAGTATAAATGAATACATGGTTGATAATAACCCTTGGGAATGAGGTGATCGCTTCCAAGCAGTTTCTAAAATAAATTTTGTAAATAGTTCGTAATCATTTATATTGTAAAATTTATTTTAAAAAAAAGTCCCGCTGGGTTTCTTGCTGGTTCTTCCCAGGACAGAGGGTTTTTTCGAACCAGTGGTAAAGTAAAAAATGACTTTCAATAAGAATTACACATGTAATGTATATTGAAAAAAAAAAATGACTTTATATTTTTAGATCACCGACGGGAGTTGTGGAGTTGGCGCAATAGGCAGAAATCGCATTATACAAGCTCTACCACTGCCTCCTTCATTTCCTTCAAAGATACATGTTCTTCCAATCGTATCACCACATGACTCAAGTTTACAACATGGTAATAATGTATTCTTTGTATTATGAATATTTTTATGTATTTTTTTTGTAGTGATGGTATAAATTTTCACCTTCGAAAATGTACTTTGTTTCAAAATTAAAATTACACTAAAAGTCATTGATATTTACACATGTAACTTAAGCAGTACAAGACTCAATACTTTTTTTCTGATATTGAACATTTTATGACTGTTTTAAGGTTTTGTTTTCTTTGTTTGATCCTTGAAGAACCATTATTATACTTTAAATTAGAATGGTATTATTACAGTGTTTAAGATACTAATTCTCATGCATAAAAAATAACTTCGCGACTAGGGTTTGGGAAGTCTCGATAGTCTCAAAATCCCATAACATGAGACAACCAATAGTCAAAGTCTCGGGACATAATGGGACTTTTTTTATAGGATATGGGTGACAAACGAGCACACAGTCTACCTGATGGTAAGTGGTTGCTGCGGCCCATAGACATCTACATCTATCCTCTATTACAAATCAAAATGCAGATGCGTTATCACCCGTGAGGACTAAGGTGGAATGCCTTGTTTCCAGTAAAAAGGGTCTCCGGTTCTCTACACTCACCAACGTTAAGCTGCTATTTTACGCTGGTATTCTGGGAGAGCGTAGTCCTTCCCCGGTCGAGCCGACCCATTCGTGCTACCACTATACTACTAATATAGCTGCAGCATGACTCTACCACGTATAAAACTTCGAGTATTCTTAGAAAAAAAATTGTATAAACCTCATTTTTGGCAATATGTTATATTAGTAATATATGTAATATTGAACATAAAATCAAATCTCAACATTTACTTATAATGTTAGAATTCATATGTTTCAATCTTTAATTAACTACCTGTATTAGTATAATCATAAAAAAAATATTATCTAGTATAATTTACAGTTGTATAAAATATAACAGACAATAACAATAGACACACCCCATATAGTCTATAAATTAGACAGTATTAAAACAAACAGGTTTATAAATGTACCTAATTGTATACTATCAAACATTTTGTCTAAACTGTTATCTGATATAAATATTAAAAATATCAAGTAAATGCAAAACATGTTTTCACGGGACCTTACTTTTCGATTAAGCCAAACAATCAATTGCAATATTTATTTATCGTACGTAAAATTAGTTCTTATAACTTTAGCAGAACTTAACTATATTAGTTGTAGCAGGAATGTGTAGGCTCGACCGGGGTAGGACCACGCTCTCATAGAATACCGGCGTAAAATTGCAGCTTAAGGCTGCTGCGTTTCGTATGGTGAGTGTAGAGAACCGGAGACCCTTTTTACTGGAAACAAGGCATTCCATCTCAGTCTTCAGGAGTGATACCGCAAGAGTATTTTGATTCCTAATCGACTATAAGTGCCTACGAGCCACAGCATCCACTTACCATCAGGTGGACTGTGTGTTCTTATGTCACGCTTATTCTATAAAAAAGCATTAGCAAGCAAGAATAAATTATAAAACGCAATCTCAATTAAATTACATTGTGTAACAAAAAAATTCACCTCAGTGTCAACTAGCGACATCTTAAGTGGAAGATTATTAGTCATCATTGAATTAAATTGTAAAAATAAAAATCAGTCTTAAAGACACAATGCAATAAAATAATAATAATATACTTGTTTATTTCAGCAATGCCACTTTACCAAAAAATAGTGGATTTAGCAGGCAACACAGCTAACAATTCAACTGGCAGCATTAATAGAGGTGCCATATATTGTCCGGACCAACTTTCTATCTCTGGTGTAAGTAATAGTACAAATAATAATAAAAAAACACTTTTCAAGTATATATTTTATTTATTGAATAAACAATATCGCACTTGCCTCAATATGTCTATAAGCTGTTTTCGAATTTGCATCATGTATTAAATCCCGACAAGCTTTGATTTCCAACCTTTGGGGCAGGCCAGTTTATGGGGAGAATTTACTCCTGAGATAATAAAATGAGGCAGATAAGGAGACTTCTTTTCTTTGTCTCTTATTCTTTATCTGGGCATGGGCTGGCCAATGCTCAATGCAAAGCTCTGATGTCTTAACTACTCATTCCACAATAGCAATTGAATGGATAAAGAAATAACTCTTCAATATATAATAAATCAAATATAGAACACAATAAAATAATACCGTTATACTGTCCACTAATGAAGAAAGTGTTTATGTCAGGTTGTTTCAACAATGAATAAGCTCTGTGAACAACAATACCAGGAGTTCTGGTGCACACTGAAATGTGGTCAATTAGAAACACGAGTCCAGTTATTCCCTGCGCCACAACCAGCATCCCATGAAGGCCTTGCAGCGACATACACTATATCAAACCAGATACATGTTATTGGCTTTTTACAACAACAAGATTTAGGTAAAGTTGTGTATAGTCATCGATCACTAATAAAAAACTAGATACACAATCAGTGACAAAAAATGGCGTAACCGAATGTGCACCCACTCGAACATATGGGTGCACTTTTAATCTAGTAGCATTCGAATGCTCCAACGGTAAACATGCCTCATTGCTCGTTTAAAAAGTGTAAAAATCACACATCCAGGACGCTAAAAAAGGATTGATTTTCATATTTTCGGTAACTATTAATATTAACATTATTTAATTGTTAGCACTGTATTTTTAATACTGATATTTTTTCAAGAAATCATCGTAAAAGATTTTTTAAATTAAGTCGTAATAAAATGAGTCGTCATTGTTCGAGGTATATGCGTTGATTCTGTTCCATTTGTAGAGACGCTATTGTTTTTATATTTTTTATTATTAAAGTATGATGGTATTTTTTCTGTTTAATGAGAGTTCTTTATTATTTCTCTAAATATTATAGTACTGGAAACTTCGGGAATATAAAATAAGTTAATATACGCGATAAAGTCCGTAAAACTAGTTTTACTTAAATGTGTAATGAACGCGTAAATATAAGAAATCATTATAATTATTCAGTCTTATCCGTTTTTTAAACATCTGTAAATATGAACATTACATCAAAAATTTGGACAATAATATTCTTAGATTTTGCAAGATCTTTTTGTATTTATTTTTTATATTTAGTTACTATTATATTTAGATTTTAGTTGTTTGTCAAGCAGTATTTTTATTTGTTACACAAGATAAAGAATAAATAAATAATTATGACTGTTTCAATTACTTTCATTTCTAGGGGGGTAGGGCCCTATCCAAAAGCATAGTTACATTCAGGTAATAATATAACCATTACACATATACACCATAGAATAGAATAGAATATTCTTTATTAAGTAGACCAATTATTTAAAACAAATTTAACAAACTTATAAAATAAAAATTACAGTAACAAAAATATTTTGCAGTTCGACTCTACTATCCTTGTCCAATCGACGAGCCTCTGTCGTAAAATTTTATTGCTTTTTGCACGTAGCTTTGTCAATACAACTTTATGTAATGCAGTTAAGGTTTAATTTACATTAATGTATATTTATATCAACTAGAATTACGTCACATTTTGGCGACAGTTTTTAGAGAACTTTTGTATGGAATTGTGCATCTAGTTTTTTATTAGTGATCGATGTGTATAGTCCTAATTTATTTTATTATTTAAAAAAAAAACAATAAGTTTTCATCTATAGCTATGTCAATCCATTTTTTACATTTAGCAACGCCGATAGCAATAAATGAACATAATACCGCATCGCTTGTTTACTTTTAGGGACACCGATAGCAATAAGTAAACATCTTATAATACCGCAAGCTCAATCTGGAAACAATACTACAAACAGAGAGAACTTCGGCTCCAAGACACCGACAAAGGTAAAGAAATACATAGCTTTTATTAGACTTCAAAGAATGTTTTAATTTTTCTCGAACTGTCCTCCTTTTGACATTTATGGTTTTATAATAAAGTACATAAAATATCCAATGTCAGAAAATATATATTAGAGAGATGCTACTAGGCTAATGGTGATTCTTTTATTATCTGTACAGTTCTGTCACAGTACACGCCTAATTTTGGATTACCCACCCAGATTACCCACCAACCTAATTTTGGTCAAGCAGACATCATGTGTAAGGGGAACAACAACCTATATAATATTATATTTTCAGGAGGGATCTAGCACAGAAGGTACAACGACAGATGAAGATATGTCAGATCCAAGCAAAGTGCCCAATTTCTGTGTTTTGCTACACGGAGCACTTAAGGTAAAATTGATTTTTACTTTATTCCTTTTACTTCCTTGAGACTTATTGACTTTTTTTGCGAATAGACCTGAAGACCACACCAAATTCTATTAACTAAATTGATTTGGCATGGAATTGACAACTGTGCGATTGTGTAACTTGGGTATAAGTAGCGGCACGAAAGTCTAGCGGTGACCGTTATTGCGTATAAGGCCCGCCACATACATACGGAATTCCGTTTCGGAATTTCGAACGATCGGCCACACACAAACGGAATCCCATTTTGCCCGCAAAATATCGAACGGAAAACTACCGTACGTGTGTGGCGGGTCATAGATTTTATATGAACATGCTGCGTTCGGGATTCCGAATCGGAATATCGAATCGGAATCTCGAAACGAAATTCCGTATGTATGTGGCCGGCCTTAGTCGAAAATAAGGTATGGGGAGTAAGCGGGTCGCGGGGCGGGCGTGCGTCGTTCGTACGCGCTGATTGGCTAGCTATCCCCTCCCACGTTTCGTTCAGCGTTAGACTTATGTGCCGCGACTTTTTGACATTTGTCATTTCGTACTATTGTATTGTGTTAATGTGTCAATGTCGACATACGCCGAAGTCTTTTTTAATTAATTGAATTATCCTTAACTAGCGCTCTGCAACGGCTTGAGTGATTTCTGGATCTCGACAACAGCGCCACCTATCGGGTTCAATTTAGAATAAAAACTATCCAAGAACCCACTCTAACACACAAAAAATCTCATCATAATCGGTCGTGTCCACGGAGCAAATATAAAGAGGAGACGATCTAAGCAACTGTGCACTGTGATTCTAACTAGGTCCCGACGTCATCACAGTGGGCGTGGCCTTATTTAGTATTTTGTCAGCGTTCGTCCTGTGCGCTTATGTGTCTAAAATCGCAAATCGGTGTATTTTCGTAGTATTAAAAAGAAAAGGATGAAGTGTTGTGTTTTATCGTGTAAAAACTACTCCGATAGACGCTCTGATGCTATGGATGGCATCACATTTCATTTGTAAGTAATTTTATAGCTAATTTATTAAAAGAGTTCTGAATAAATCTATTTGTGTCGGCTTTCAAATATAATTCAATATATTCGACACTAAGTGACAACACTTTGTGTCATGGGAACTAAAATTCAAAGTTACTTAGAGCTCAGTATTGGTGAAATTGAGGTCATTGAGCATAGTGCTTAGGTCCTCCAGCGATTCTGCCATAAGGACTATATCGTCGGCAAATCGAAGGTTAGTGATGTACTCGCCATTGATGTTGATACCGTATCCTTTCCAGTCCAGAAGCTTGAAAACATCTTCCAATGCAGCGGTAAAGAGTTTCGGGGATATGACGTCACCCTGTCTTACACCTCTCTGCAATTGGATAGGTTTCGTACTCTGGTTCTGTACTCGGATAGCCATCGTAGCCCTACTGTACAAGCACTTCAACACTTCGATATACCGACAGTCAACTTGGCATCGCTGAAGGGACTGCAGCACCGCCCAAATTTCGACGGAATCAAAGGCTTTCTCATAGTCCACATACGCCAGACATAGTGGCAAATTGTACTCCTCGGACTTCTGTACAATTTGCCGAAGGGTATGTATGTGGTCTATGGTGCTAAAGCCTTTTCGGAAACCGGCTTGTTCGGGAGGCTGGAAGTCGTCAAGTCTGCGCGCGAGACGATTCGTAATGACTCTCGAAAACAGCACGTAGACGCGGCTCAGAAGGGATATCGGTATGTAGTTCTTCAAGAGAGCGTTGTCGCCTTTCTTGAAGAACAAGACCACCGCACTTCTGCTCCACGCCTCCGGTGTAATGCCACCATGGAGGACGGAATTAAAGAGCTTCTGAAGGACTTCAAGTACCGGTTTTCCACCCGCTTTCAGAAGCTCCGCTGTAATTCCATCCTCGCCTGGGGCCTTGCCGTTTTTAAGGTGCTGGAGAGCCATTCTAATCTCGCTCAGACTGACGTCCGGGATATCAACGGAATAATGTCGGATAAGACTCGCTCTTGGATCGTTACTCACACTTGCGTGCGGCTCCAACGATGACGTGTACAGCTGCCCATAGAACCTCTCAATCTCACTCAAAATCTCAGGTGCCCCGGAAACGATGCTGCCACATTCTGTCTTCAGCTTTGACAGTTGGCGCTTTCTGGCGGACAGATCTCTGGCAAAGACTTTGGAGCCTTGGTTCCGCTCGATCGCTTCTTCAATACGAGCTGTATTGAAGTTGCGTAAGTCCCGCCGCATGCATTTGGAGATCTGTCTGTTCAGTTGCCTGTATGCTGTTAAATCTGTTGAAGAATGTAGCTTCATCTCCCGTCTAACAGCCATGAGATTAAGAGTGTGATCGGAGAGTTTTTGTGTTCTTCTGCGGCGGGTCTTGCAGAACTTAGCTCCGACCGCATGGACAGTTTCCACGAGCTTGTCATTCAAATCGTCCACTTCATTGCAGTCTTCTAGGCACTGAAAACGGTTTTGTAACTCGAGCTGAAAGGTTTCGGGACTTTGGATTAGAGCACGAGGGGGACGGAGCGTTGACTTCATTAGACGAGACCTCTCCAACTTAACGTTTAGGTTCAGTGTGCCTCTAACCATTCGGTGATCGCTGCCGGTTTTCACCCTCGCGATCACTGAGACATCACTGAACAGTTGTCGTCTGGTCGTCATAATGAAGTCAATCTCATTTTTTGTCGAACCGTCGGGGCTCGACCAGGTCCACTTTCTGTGGGGCCGCTTCTGGAAGAAAGAGTTCATCATAAAGAGTCCCTCTTTCTCCATAAAGTCAGCCAACTGCTGGCCCCTTGGGTTCCGTTGCCCTATTCCAAATTTCCCTACTTTCAGCTCACCGTTCTCTCTTGTGCCTAGTTTTGCATTGAAGTCTCCCATTAACACCGTATATTGGGTTTTGGAGGAATGCATGGCTCTAGAGATATCCTCATACATTTCCTCCACCTCCTGATCGGGGTGTGCCGAGGTTGGTGCGTAAACCTGTATGACCTTCAGCGAATACCGTTTGGTGATTCTGAGTATAAGGTGCGCAACCCTCGTCGACACACTCTCAATCTTTACAACGTTGTTAACGAGAGACTTGTGGACGATAAATCCGACACCTCCTTGGGGCAGATGGTCGCCCTCCCGGTAATAGAGCAAGTTGCCGGATTCAAGGATTACCGTGTCCTCCCCCTCTCTTCGGACTTCGGATAATCCTATAATATGCCAGCGTAACTTGTCTATCTCTTCTTCCAGCTCCACAATCTTCTCGTCAGTCCTCAGGGTGCGTGCGTTGTATGTTGCCAGGTCGAGTCGTCGTAGGTCGACCTCCACCGGAGATTCTTAGCACCCCCTGCCCCGCCGTTACCATGGTCGCCACCGTAGCCAGGAATAGCGGGGCCGCCGGGGACTGGGGGCCGTTTATTATTGTCATTGCTCATGGGGGGTATATTGCCATAGTTGCCACGCTTGGCGAGCGGGTTGGCAACCGCAGTTTTTTTATTGTTATTTTGGCTATTATCAGGAAGATGCTGCTGCCCATCTCCTGCCTGTTTCCCTTTGTCGCCTTTTACGACACCCACGGGAAGATATGGGGTAGTGGATATTCTTAACCGCCACTACACGGCAATAGTGTTTCCCAACGGATAGGTCTTAAGATGAACATGGACAAAACAAAGATCATGTTTAATGTCCATGTCACACCTATGCCGGTAGTTGTTGGAAACACTAAGCTCGAAGTTGATGACGAGTATGTTTACCTGGGACAAATAGTCCGACTAGGTAAGTCCAACTTCGACCGAGAGGTCAATCGACGGATTCAACTCGGCTGGGCAGCGTTCGGGAAGCTACGACACATCTTCTCGTCAGGTATACCTCAAAACTTGAAAACGAGACTGTACACCCAGTGCGTGTTGCCAGTGATGACATACGGAACTGAGACGTGGTCCTTCACTGCTGGTCGGATGAGGAAGCTCAAGGTCGCTCAGCGAGCTATGGAGAGGGCTATGCTCGGAGTTTCCCTGCGTGATAAACTCAGAAATGAGGATATCCGCAGTAGAACTAGAGTACCGACATAGCCCAACGGATTAGTAAGCTGAAGTGGCAATGGGCCGGCCATATAGCTCGAAGAACCGACAACCGATGGGGAAGAAAGGTTCTCGAGTGGCAGCCTCGTACCGGCAGGCGAAGTGTAGGGCGTCCCCCCACTAGATGGAGTGACGACCTGGTAAGATATGCAGGAAGTCGATGGATGCAGGTGGCTCAGGACCGTGCTTTGTGGCATTCTTTGGGGGAGGCCTATGTTCAGCAGTGGACTTGTGAAGGGCTGTAATGATGATGATGAATGATGATTGGTGAAATAATCATACCACGGTGCTGAAATTTGTTTTGCATTCAGTCCTAAAGAATTTTTAATCGCCAAAATATTATTTTATAGTTTTTATAATCATTTTGTGAACAGGCCGCCATCTATCGTTAAGGTAGCTAAACTACATTGCAACATTGATATGGAACGATGCGAGTAGTTTTACTATTTATGGGTGGATGGAAAATAATTAAGTGGGCGGGGCTTAATACCCCCTCACCCCGCAAATTGTCACACGTTGTTACATAGTGAAATCTAATTACAACACCTCTTTGTATTTGCCCCTTGGTAGTGTCATTTTACTGAGTTTTAGCGAGGCTAAGGGACTGCAATTAATTTTTATTATATAGTTAATGCGTATTTAATTGACTTCGAGTACATTGATGATGATCTCATTTTATTTATATTGAAGTCAGTTGTACAATTTTTTTTTAATTTTACCACTTGTGATTGCAATTTAATTTCTTACATCAACTAACAATCAATCTAGCATAGCATAGCTCTAGCATAATATATCTATGACTATTGGTTGTATAATTTTGGAAATAACGCCTTATAACATTATTCTGAAATCATACTTATTAAGTTTGTTTTTCAACGCAAAACTAGGCACAAGAGAGAACGGTGAGCTGAAAGTAGGGAAATTTGGAATAGGGCAACGGAACCCAAGGGGCCAGCAGCTGGCCGACTTCATGGAGAAAGAGGGACTCTTTATGATGAACTCTTTCTTCCAGAAGCGACCCCACAGGAAGTGGACCTGGTCGAGCCCCGACGGTTCGACAAAAAATGAGATTGACTTCATTATGACGACCAGACGACAACTGTTCAGTGATGTCTCCGTGATCGCGAGGGTGAAAACTGGTAGCGATCACCGAATGATGAGAGGCACACTGAACCTAAACGTTAAGTTGGAGAGGTCTCGTCTAATGAAGTCAACGCTCCGTCCCCCTCGTGCTCTAATCCAATGTCCCGAAACCTTTCAGCTCGAGTTACAAAACCGTTTTCAGTGCCTAGAAGACTGCAATGAAGTGGACGATATGAATGACAAGCCCGTGGAAACTGTCCATGCGGTCGGAGCTAAGTTCTGCAAGACCCGCCGCAGAAGAACACAAAAACTCTCCGATCACACTCTTAATCTCATGGCTGTTAGACGGGAGATGAAGCTATATTCTTCAACAGACTTGACAGCATACAGGCATCTGAACAGACAGATCTCCAAATACATGCGGCGGGACTTACGCAACTTCAATACAGCTCGTATTGAAGAAGCGATCGAGCGGAACCAAGGCTCCAAAGTCTTTGCCAGAGATCTGTCTGCCAGAAAGAGCCAACTGTCAAAGCTGAAGACAGAATGTGGCAGCATCGTTTCCGGGACACCTGAGATTTTGAGTGAGATTGAGAGGTTCTATGGACAGTTGTACACGTCATCGTTGGAGCCACACGCAAGTGTGAGTAACGATCCAAGAGCGAGTCTCATCCGACACTATTCCGAAGATATCCCGGACGTAAGTCTGAGCGAGATTAGAATGGCTCTCCAGCACCTTAAAAACGGTAAGGCCCCAGGCGATGATGGAATTACAGCGGAGCTTCTGAAAGCGGGTGGAAAACCGGTACTTGAAGTCCTTCAGAAACTCTTTAATTCCGTCCTCCATGGTGGCATTACACCGGAGGCGTGGAGCAGAAGTGCGGTGGTCTTGTTCTTCAAGAAAGGTGACAACGCTCTCTTGAAGAACTACAGACCGATTTCCCTTCTGAGCCGCGTCTACGTGCTGTTTTCGAGAGTCATTAGGAATCGTCTCGCGCGCAGACTTGACAACTTCCAGCCTCCCGAACAAGCCGGTTTCCGAAAGGGCTTTCCCGATACCATCCACACCATCTGGATGATTGGCGGTCCACCACTGTGCGATTTAGAAGATGTTTTCTTCCTCGCACGACGTCCTTGTGGAATCGATTACCATCAGCGATTTTTCCGGACCGATACGACTTAGGGACCTTCAAGAAAAGAGCGTACTCCTTTTTAAAAGGCCGGCAACGCATCTGCGATTCCCCTGGTGTTGCAGTTGTTCATGGGCGGCGGTAGTCACTTACCATCAGGTGAGCCGCATGCTCGTTTGCCCCCTCTCCTATAAAAAAAAAAGCACCATAGACCACATACATACATACCCTTCGGCAAATTGTACAGAAGTCCGAAGTGTACAATTTGCCACTATGTCTGGCGTATGTGGACTATGAGACAGCCTTTGATTCCGTCGAAATTTGGGCGGTGCTGCAGTCCCTTCAGCGGTGCCAAGTTGACTGTCGGTATATCGAAGTGTTGAAGTGCTTGTACAGTAGGGCTACGATGGCTATCCGAGTACAGAACCAGAGTACGAAACCTATCCAATTGCAGAGAGGTGTAAGACGGGGTGACGTCATATCCCCGAAACTTCACCGCTGCATTGGAAGACGTTTTCAAGCTTCTGGACTGGAAAGGATACGGTATCAACATCAATGGCGAGTACATCACTCACCTTCGATTTGCCGACGATATAGTCCTTATGGCAGAATCGCTGGAGGACCTAAGAACTATGCTCAATGACCTCAATAGTGTTTCCCAACGGATAGGTCTATAATGAACATGGACAAAACAAAGATCATGTTTAATGTCCATGTCACACCTATGCCGGTAGTTGTTGGGAACACTAAGCTCGAAGTTGTTGACGAGTATGTTTACCTGGGACAAATAGTCCGACTAGGTAAGTCAAACTTCGACCGAGAGGTCAATCGAAGGATTCAACTCGGCTGGGCAGCGTTCGGGAAGCTACGACACATCTTCTCGTCAGACATACCTCAAAACCTTAAAACGAAATTGTACAACCAGTGCGTGTTGCCAGTGATGACTTACGGAACTGAGACGTGGTCCTTCACTGCTGGCCGTATGAGAAAGCTCAAGGTCGCTCAGCGAGCTATGGAGAGGGCTATGCTCGGAGTTTCTCTGCGTGATAAACTTAGGAATGAGGATATCCGCAGTAGAACCAGAGTAACCGACATAGCCCAACGGATTAGTAAGCTGAAGTGGCAGTGGGCCGGCCATATAGCTCGAAGAACCGACGACCGATGGGGAAGAAAGGTTCTCGAGTGGTGGCCTCGTACCGGTAGGCGAAGTGTAGGGCGTCCCCCCACGAGATGGAGTGACGACCTGGTAAGACATGCAGGAAGTCGATGGATGCAGGGGGCTCAGGACCGTGCTTTGTGGCATTCTTTGGGGGAGGCCTATGTTCAGCAGTGGACTTGTGAAGGGCTGTAATGATGAATGATGATGATGAAGTTTGTTTTTGCAACATTGTAGGTGGAAGGGATGGCTGCCATTGTACAGTTAGGACCGGATTGGTGGGGTACAGTTTCGGCTTGGTGCGAGGCGTCGCGAGCGAGGCGCTCTTGTCTGTTACTAGGCGTACTTCGACCCGGTGCTTCTGCTGCTCCTTGGCTTGGCGCTCTCGATCAACTTGGACCCGCTGACGATGCAACCACCACAGGTAAGTGTAGAAGGGGCTCGTATATTAGCAGCAGAGGATCCCATCCTCAATAATCAAAATGTAGATGAGGGGCCATTTTTGAGGCCTAAGATGGAATACCTCTTTACCAGTAAAAAGGGTCTCCGTTTCTCGTCACTACTCATGAGAGTGTTTAAGTGGTGAAAGGGAATATTGGTAATATTTTAATAGCATTACTAGTATTTTTTCTTAAAAAAATTATAAAAAAAAACACAGAAGCATTATGCTGCTATTTTTATCCTGTCTAGCTGACTCATTCATACTATCATCAAAATACGCTGTAACGTGTCTCTACCACGTAAATAGATGGTAGAACAGAAATACCATCTAGTTTATTTATGTAATATAAAATATCCAGACTGACCTATGTCGGGCAATGGATTTTCTTCAGGTTAATGAGAGCCATTATGACGCGATGCACGCAGCTAACTAACGAACGAAGCTATGGCGGTCCAGAATACATGTTACCTTACTTCGTTGCAGTCTCCGCAAATTCCTGTCTCCAATTCTCTCTTGTGAGCCAAGATGACGTTAAAAAGTTGCTCTTTCAATTAACCCCAAGGCTTTTTTGCCGATTTGGTTTTCGTCCTGATTCGAGGAGAGTACGTGTTTGGAAAGTTCCTACAAGTCGGCTTCAACAGCCTCAAGAAGTTCATACGAACAATTATGGTTAGGGCAAAAATTCATTTTGGTTGAAGAATGGACCTCATTTGGATACAAAGCACTATGACTAAGGCTTAAAATTATTGCTGTGATGAAATACATAGATACATGATAGTCAACATACTAAAATACATTCTCCCTGCTGTCATGCATATTATTCATTTACACTTGACTTTGGACAGTATCCAACTCTCTGGAAAAAGGTTTTTATCCGACCCCTTCCGAAAGTACCTAATCCTACGTTACTTAGTCATCTACGTCCCATGTCTATATTGCCCTTTGTGTCTAAAGTTCTAGAAGCCTGTGTTTATAAGCAAATATCCAAATTTATATTTAAACATAACCTACTGAGTGCTTATCAGTCTGAATTTCCTCCTGGTCGGTCGAATTATGAATATTTTGTTTGATGTCAATGTACAGAGGCATTTCCCGTGCGTTCATGGCGCTCGTACAGCGGCGGCGGGTCAGGATGCGCGTGGGCCCGACCTCACGCGCTGCTCGCCGACGTACAGAAAGTTCTGCGGCACGCACGCAAACTGCCGGACAAAACGCAACATCTTTACAAGGTATTTTTATCTTGAATTCATTTTTGCTTTTTTATATAGAATAAGTGTGACAAGCGAGCATACAGTCCACCTGATGGTAAGTGATTGCTGTGGCCCATGACCGTGGAGGAGCTAGACCGAGCCTTTAGCTGCTTAAGAGCCCGGAACACTGCACCGGGATCCGACGGTATCCCGGGCCGAGCCCTAGTACTTAGTCTGGCTACCCTGGGGGACAGGCTTAGGCAGCTTTTCACCGACTGTTTGCGAAGTGCCAAGTTCCCCACTGCATGTAAAGAGGCAAGGTTGGTTCTCTTGAAGAAGGAAGGCAGGGCCGCCGATTCTCCCTCTGCGTACCGTCTCATATGCCTTTTGCACGAGATTGGCAAATTGTTCAAAAGAATAGTTGCCACTCGGTTCAACGGGCATCTGTTTCACGTTGGTCCCGATTTGGCTGATAGCCAGTTTGGATTCCGACGAGAGTTTTCTACAATAGATGCTGTCATGTGCGTCCGCTCCCTGTCGGAACAAGCAGTATCCCAGGGTGGTGTGGCGTTGCCGATAAATTTCGATATCGTCAACGCCTTTAATTCTCTACCCTGGGGCGCAATCAGGAGCGCACTGGCACACGATCAGGTGCCCCCTACCTGCAAGGTGTTATTGGGGACTACTTGCGCGACAGGTACATCCTGTACCTGGGGCAAAATAGGAGAAAGACCCGGAGGGAGATCAGCGTGGGGTTCCACTAGGCTCGGTGCTGGGGCTGCTACTGTGGAACCTCGCCTATGATGCGGTTCTGCGAGATGAACTTCCCGCTGGCGTAGATATCGTCTGCTATGCCGACGACACGGTGGCGGTTGCCAGCGGGCTCACCTTGGAGAGGGCCAAAGAGCTCGCCGAGCTTGGGGCGGAAGTCGTCGTCGCCAAAATCCAGCGCCTTACAAGACCGAGGCCCTATGGTTCCATAAATTACGACGCGGCAGGGAACCAGGCTTCGAAGAACACTTCGAGCGCCTTGTCCCCCGAATTGAAAGGGTAGCGGGTGCTATGCATTGACTTCTGCCACTTACTTACTGAACTTATGGTAAGTGTAGAGAACCGGAGACACTTTTTACTGGAAACGAGGCATTCCATCTTAGTCCTCACGGGTGACAACGTATCTGCATTTTGATTCGTAATCGAAGGTAGATGTAGATATCTATGGGCCGCAATAACCACTTACAATCAGGTGGACTGTGTGCTCTCCTGTCCCCCTTATCGGATATTAAAAATATCTAAAATAATTATAAGCAAGGCTTACAAGGCGAAGTAAACAATGTGAACGGGATGTATTTTTACAGCAAGTTGATGTTGATGATGATATATCATTTAATTCAATGACCGGTTGCGTTCATGGGACTGCTTCTATTAGTATTGTGTGCAAGAGGAAAGTCAGTAAACGTCAGTGTGTTTACATATTTTATCAAGAATCGTTGATCTTTCTTGAATTAGAGTATGCTAATAGGTTATTTCTTTTTATATTTTGATAATTTCATGACATAAATCAACATAAACGCATGTTTAATTGAATGATTTGAAGGGTTCGGTTCAATAACCGTGTAATTTTTTTTCATATTCAGGAGCTCAACCGTCTACGCCGTGCTGCAATCTCGCTCGGTTTCTCTGAACTACTTACATGCGTGGGAAGTGCTCTGGAACGAGAGTGCGCATCATTGCCCAGCTCCGCCCCACCAGAGTGCGCATTACAACTAGCCCACGCCGCTGCCGCACTTAGGGACCCCAGAACTGCGCTAGACATCAAGCATACACTACAACCTCTAGCCACAAACTTCACAGTTACGTCTATGTCCCACTGATACTAAAATAAACAGTTTTCTTTAAATTCAAAGTGTTTAATTTTTGACATGGTTTATCTCGTTATTCATCCAGTGGCTCTGATTTTTTTTAGTTGCTTCTTACGACAACCAAGACGACTGTTAATGAGAGTTAATAATCTTTTGTTCACCAGATGTTGCTAGGAGCGACCGAGGTGAAGTTTTTTGTTACACAATGTCATATAATTTAGAAGTTGCGTTATAAATAAAATTTCATCGATTTTTAGAGTATAAGATAAATACACAAAGCTAATGCCTCAGTTTGTTCCTTAATGTTATTCCCCTTTTTTAAGCTTTTTTAAGCTTTTATAATCTTTTCTACTTTTAAAAATGTCTGTACTTTGGTTTATTCATTTCTAATCTATTTACTAATATTACAACAAGTAGTAACATTTAAAGTTTTGTACAACCGACTTCAATATAAATAAAATTTGAACATCATAAATGTAGTGGAAGTCAATTAAATACTTATTATTACGCATAACTCAAAAACTACTGGTCAGATCTTGATCAAATTTATATGAGACCACATGAGAAGCATCACCATGAAAAGAATCATCAAAATCGGTTCACCTAGAAAACAGTTTTTTTTATGTGTGTTACCTCCGAACTTTTACAAGATATTAATTTATGGAGGGTTTTACGGCTTTAACCGAATAAAACGTCAAAGCAAAACGATGTAAATTAATAGTAAAAGTATCATTTACATCCCGTGTAGTGGCGGTGTAAGAATATCCACTACCCTATATCTTCCCGTGTGTGTCGTTAGAAGCCACAGATGGAAACTGAGGCATGAGATGGGAAGCAGCGTCTTTCTGATAACAGCAAAATAATAATAAAAAAACTGCGGTTGCCAACCCGCTTGCCAAGCATGGCAATATACCCCCATGGCGATAGTTACAAAGAGACGCCCCTCAGTCCCCGGCGGCCCCGCTATTCCTGGCTACGGTGGCGACCATGGTAACGGCTGGGCAGGGGGTGCTAAGAATCTCCGATGGACGTTCGGTTGCCACCTAAGACGACTTGACTTGGCAACATATAACGCACGCACCATAAGGACTGACGAGAAGATCCTGGAGCTGGAAGAAGAGATAGACAAGTTGCGCTGGGATATTATAGGATTATCTGAGCTCCGTAGGGAACGGGAGGACATGGTAATCCTCGAATCCGGCAACTTGTTCAGTCATCGGAAGGGCGACCATATTATGTCCCAAATAGGTGTCGGACTCTCGGATTCATCGTCCAAGAGTCTCTTGTTAACAACGTTGTAAAGATTGAGAGTGTGTTGGTGAGAGTTGCGTACCTTATACTCAGAATCATCAAACGGTCGCAGAGGAACTGCATGCAGCAGACTTGACAGCATACAGGCAATTGAACAGACAGATCTTGAAATACATGCGGCGGGACTCACGCAACTTATTATATACAGCTCGTATTGAAGAAGCGATCGAGCGGAACCATAGCCCCAAGCTCGGAACCATAGTCGAAGCTGAAGACCGAATGTAGCAGCATCGTTTCCGGTACACCTGAGATTAGAAGTGAGATTGAGAGGTTCTAAAGGCAGATGTACACGTTATCGTTGGATCCAAACGCATGTGTGTGTAACGATCCAAGACCAAGTCTTATCCGACATATCCCGAACGTCAGTCTGAGCGAGATTAGAATGGCTCTCTAGCACCTTAAAAATGGCATGGCCTCGGGCGAGGAATGAATTACAGCGGAGCTTCTGAAAGCGGGTGGAAAACCGGTACTTGAAGTCCTTCAGAAGCTCTTCAATTCCGTCCTCCATTGGGACTAATCCGGAAGCGTGGAGCAGAAGTGCGGTGGTCTTGTTCTTCAAGAAAGGCGACAACGCTCTCTTGAAGAACTACAGACCGATTTCCCTTCAGAGCCGCGTCTACGTGCTGTTCGAGAGTCATTACGAATCGTGTCACGCAGACTCGACGACTTCCAGCCTCCCGAACAAGCCTGTTTCTGAAAAAACTTGTTGCAAGGCTAATTGTACAGAAGACCGAAAAGTACAATCTGTACAACCACTTTGTCTCGCGTATGTGAACTATGAGGTAGCCTTTGATTCCGTCGAAATTTGGGCGGTTCTGCAGTCCCTTCAGTGGTGGCAAATTTACTGTCGCTACATCAAAGTGCTGAAGTGTTTGTACAGTAAGGCTACGATAGCTATCCGACCTGAAACTATCCACCGCTGCATTGGAAGATACTAGCTAAACTACCGGACTGGAAAGAATACCTAAACTACCGGACTGGAAAGAATACGGTATTAACATCTATGACGAGTACATCACTCACCTTTGATTTTCTGACAATATAGCTAATCCTTATGGCAGAATCGCTGGAGGACCTAAACACTGATGTGCTCAACGACCTCAATAGTGCCTTTCAACGTATAGGTCTTAAGATTAACATGGACAAAACAAAGATCATGTATAACGTCCATGTCAACCCTATGCCGGTAGTTGTAGGGAGCACTAAGCTCGAAGTTGTTGACGAGTATGTTTACCTGGGACAAATAGTCCGACTAGGTAAGTCCAACTTCGACCGAGAGATCAATCGATGGATTCAACTTGGCTGGGCAGCGTTTGGGAGTTTCCGATACATCTTCTTCGGGTATATCAATTATCTAACTCCAAATTTGAAAACAAGATTGTACATACAACCTGTGCGTGTTGCCAGTGATGACTTATGGATCTGAGATGTGGTCCTTCACTGCTAGCCGTGTGAGGAAGCTCGAGGTCGCTCAGCTAGCTATGGAAAGTGCTATGCTCGGGGTTTCTCTGCGTGATAAACTTAAAAATGAGGATATCCGCAGCAGAACCAGAGTAACCGACATAGCCCAACGGATTAGTAAGCTGAAGTGGTAATGGCCTGCCATAATTCGTAGAACCGACAACCGGTGGGGAACAAAGGTTCTCGAGTGGCAGCCTCGTACCAGTAGGCGAAGTACAGGGCGGCCCTTCACTACATGGAGTGACGACGTGGCAAGACACACAGGAAATCGATGGATGCAAGCGGCTCAGAACCGTGCTTTGTGACTTTTTGGGGGAGGGCTATACAAAAAAAAGTATATTTTTTTGTTTTAACGTCTAAATAATTGCTTACTCCGCTCTGTATGCGTGCGGACGTGTGTAAAGCTTGCGCGTATGTGAGTACATGTGTAGTAGCGTGTACAGTGGTAGCACTGTTCCCACAGCCCACAAAAATAATAATTATTGAAATATTTTCTTACTAATATTTTTGGCCCTGTAGATCAGTCTACTGCGCCGTCTACCTATATAATTTTTATGCATCTACGCTCTCGCAGAATACTGTATTTCATGTGGTTTACTGGGAATGACGCATTACATTTTAGTCCTCAGGAGGGACAACGCATCTGAATTTTGATTCTTAATTGAGAGTACGTGTAGACTTCAATTGGCCACAGTATCCACTTACCATCAGGCGAACTGTGTGCTCGCTTGTCACCCTTTTCTAGTTAAAAAAAAATTACCTGAGTGTCGTAAGAAGCGGCAGAACGAAATAAATACTCAATAAAAAATAACTGCATTTGCCAAGTGTATAATAGTGTATGACCGAGGGTGGTAATGAACATCCATGACTTTTTCCGCCACCAGGGCCGCGCCGCTTTGAAATGAGGTGAAATATTTGACATATTTCATACCGGGGAAGTTAATTTTAGGAAAATGTAAGGGTTAATGTTTGTTTCTGTAATATTAGTTATATTTCATAATAATTAGATTAGAAATGAATAAATCAGACCGAGGGTATCCTTAAAAACGGAAGTAAAATGTGCAAAAAATTAAAAAGAAAACCACTGAGGCTTTGTTTTGTAATTTAATATAATACTCTATAAACGGATAGTTTTATTTAAAACTAACTTAATGTTGCGCGCCACAATTAATGGAAGGTACATGGCAACACTAGTTACCACTAGCGCCCTCTAGTATCGAGTAGCAGAACTAGGAGGTCGAGAACATTCTAGGAATTTCCATGGAAGAACTTTCTGGAACCATCGACACCTAGTCAATCGGTACCGATATGTACTCGAACGTTCTAGATGTTTCTACAGTGGAAGATTCTGGAAACTATATAAGTCCGGTATAGACCGCGAGCGAGGCAGTATTGAATTGGCGATATAAGCGAATACTTCGAAGCAATACAACTGCGAACTAAAGTGATCAGTAGTACATTTTTTTTTAAAAAACGTTAAACCAAAAAAAAACACTAGGATTTTCTCCTTTATCGTGGAGGCAGTTTACAAACATAAATTGCAGAGGACAAACATCCAGACCCAGAACAATTATTTGTAGGCCATACAAATATCTTGTTCCGTGCGGGATTCGAACCCGCGGCCCCAGCGCAACAATTCATTGCTAAGCCACTGCGCCACTGAGCCGTCAAATTATGTTTTATTATTAGTGTGGTTTTAAATTGTTATTAGTGTTCTGTAATTAAAGTGTCAATTTTGGTAATTCAATCGCCAGTTTTTAATTATCTCGAACCCCAAGCTCGTAACAATTAGTGTCAGAAGTGGGATCAAATCATGCCGATTTTACCAAAGGAAGACATGGAGGGTATCTGTACCCGAAGTCAACGCCAGCTGGAGACGGACCAGAGACGATTTGTTAATGTAACCCCGCAAACATCGGAAGGCCAGCTGCTGACCACGGAGGCCGTCCCGTCAGCAGCTCCTGCATCTGCAGCACCTGACTTAGGTGCTCTGATGATGATGTTAGAGCAGGCTCGCCGACAGGAGGAAAAGGCCCGCCTACAGGAGGAACAGGCCCGCTGACAGGGGGAACAGGCCCGTCGGTTGGAAGAGCAGCTCAAACGCGATAAGGGAGGTGAAGGATAGGGTTGCTCAATATGACAACCGCCTGTCGGAAGCTGAAACCGCAATTCGACCAAGTGTACAATTGGGTTGACAACGTGAGGGCTGACGTGGACGACCTCAAACTTGGGGATGGAGT